AAATCTTGGGTTATAACCAAGTCGAATGGAGGTAATGTGAGGACAACCACCTTAATTCTTTGGGCTAGATTCCATTGAGGGAAACAGTCTGGACTATGAATTTTAGATACATAAATGTATGATGTACTTTGGCGCAATTGGTCACAGACACATTTCTTGGGTATTTAAATTCATTCCGGTTTCAGCAACCCAAGAAATGAATCATTCTCACACACTTGCTTGTTTCAGCTTTTCCTCTGTCAGTGTCTGTATTGGTGGAGTTAAAAGCTTTCTTGGCTACTCTCTTAGTGTAAAAGAAGGACGATGGGTAAGTGCATCATCTTGGATCAAGCTCAAGTGAGCTCCAGCTGACTGGTTTAAACCTGGTTGTGGGGGGATCTCCCATCCACATCTGCTTCAAGTTAGGGCCGGGGGGCGGGGGGGGGCGGGTCGGGACAACAATACTTCTCAGTGGGGGATGGCAAAGAATTCTGATGAACAGCACAGGGACACGCAGCATTGAGAGTTTATTGCTGGCAGGAACCAGACGCTAAGAAGTACCAAACACCCAACAGTGTTCCCTAATCTAATCTTTTTGAATATGTTTATCTAAAATCGGACTTTTCATGCCTCAACATTTTTAAGAACATTTAAATAGTACCGCTCAGACGCTTGCACCCATCCAAATGTTGTTCACTACACACTGTACATGCACTCACTTTCTGCAGGGTCTCTTTAGGGACATGGATATCTGTAACAGAGGTCATGTCTTCACAATTCATGAGGTACAGCAGTTTTTTTATAGCTTAACATAAGTACTCTGCTATTATGTGTGTGACCCACATCTGTGTTAATGGCTGTAACACTGTCATTCTATATCCCCAGGTAATAGGCATAATTGATGTTAACGTTCACAGGGTACAGTACCTGCAGACACCACTCCCCTCTAACTTCCCCAAGCTCCTCTTAGCTCAGTGGGTCACATCTGGGCCAGCTCACCGTGAATCAGCCCCAGATGTGGTTCTGGAGTCAGATGGCGCAGCATTTTACACAGGGAACCCACCCAGCAGACGTCAGAGGGACCACCTCAAATCCCTTGCTGAGTTTTGTAACCCTGTTCGTGTCGGGGTTTCAATAACATCCGAAAAACAATACTTTAGTCATCATTGTGGTGAGTGACGCTTCTTACATAAACAAGTGAGTTTGATGTAAAAGATAAACTGTATTTATAACTAAGCAACACATTAAATGTAATTCCAGTAATAATGTGTTGTCTGTCTCTTGAACATCATTATCTTATCACAGTAACTTATTATTATTATTTTTTTTTTTTGTCTTACGGAGAGTCCTCTTGATTATCTTCATAGCTTAAACATCTAATGTAGCCTACTGCTGATCCTGAAAAAACACAGGAGCAGTGCAGGAGCCTGTGTGAGAGTTTATTACGACTTGAGGATAAGGACTGTGAGTAGGTCAGGTATCAGCAGTCCGATATCAGTGTTTTGCTAAATTCCTGTAACTGAACTGAAGCATTTAAGAGGCATTTCCTGGCATATTCCTGGAGTCATCCTGACATAAAGTGCTCATACAGTACCACTCCTACATGTATGAGACAAACGTGCACACAACCTTCATCAAAGTTGACTTTTTTTCAGAAAAACACAAAAACCCTGGATCACTGGAGCAAGCTGATCTTGCTTTTTTTATCTTCTTCTAAACTGGCACTGGATTTGTTTCTTCTTTATGTTACCACATCATAGTAGCTTGGCGAGACAAGCAGGTATAAATAGGGTTTAAGGAATTTAAATATAGCCCATAAGTCATTGTTTTGTAGTTGTTATGGAAAAATGTCACCCGGTCGGTATTTCAAAATAAGGATAGGTCTAAGTGAGTGTGTCGAGTCAGATTGCAGATGAGATGTGGGGTTTGTTTTGGTGCGTGGTCAGCCTGGCAGGGTGGAGCTTGTCATTGCACATCTGTGAGTGAGCTCAGTGATTTAGCGTAGCATAGGGGGGCGGGTAGCACAGAAGAAAACCACGTCATGTCGGACCCAAAGAGAGAGCCATCTGTATTATGTCATGACTGCTGGGGGAATCCACCCTTTGCTCTATATTTCCTTGTTCCACTCCCTCCCAGACTCCCCCACCCTAAATTTCTCTTTACTGCTGTACGTCATTGGTTTATTGATACTGACATTGTTGCATTCCTCTAACATACATGTGCCACAGGACTTAAACTCTGTCGTTGTTTGCAATCTTTACAAACTTTACCACCAAATCTTCTTTCCTCATGGCTTAACTTTATTCATCCTATCTTCTTTCGGCCTGCCTGTCATCTTGAGTCATCCATCACTGTTTTTGCCACTAATGACAGTCCACCTCCAGCTTTTGAGTGAAAGCTCTCTGTCTGCACTTGCCTGTCCTATTTGATGTTCACCTTCGCTCCTGCAGCACTACCCAAAAACCAGACGTGGACACTCAACAGCCTGTAATTACGTTAAAGGGGGGTTCCCTTTAGGAGCTCCAGATAATGTCTGAATAAATGAGAGTCAAAGTTTAAACATGGTGAGAAAGCAAGTGATCTTTTGCATTGCTTCTGTTAAAACTATAGCACTATATCAGAAGGAAGATGTGTCTTTTACTTTTACTTTGGAACACAATTCAGCATTAAACATAACTGTACTGCAATTGCATGCTGGTGCGTCTCTGTTAGTAACACATTTAGGGCGAAGGGCACGCCCTGAAATAAATAAACTGCGCACTCACACAAGCACGCGCAAACACACACAGACACACAGGCACATTTGCGTACACACACACACACACACACACACACACACACACACACACACACACACACACACACACACACACACACACACACACACACACACACAATAGCTACAGATCTTTAACAAGGCTGTAAACCCTGAGCCAGGGGGGGAGAGACTCTGCTCCCTACTGTCTCCCTCTGCTGGCTCATTTTCCTGGATGGCCTGGATGTTTGCTTTGATGTGAAGAGGAGAGGAGATAGCTTGGGTAGTTTACAACCGGCAGCTATTTTTTGACGATATAACTGTTGTTACAAATCAAATCAATGACGCTATATTCATTATATCAGTGTGTACGCAATAAATGATTGATTAGTAAACATAGAGTTTTATATTCTCCTGTTTTTCTTCACCCCTGCCATTCATGGGTCTGTGGCAAAGGTTCATTTCCTAATTATCTATCACCCTTGCACCCCTGTTGGCTTGATAATACTTAATTTGATTCCAGCATACAAACTCCTTTTTCTTGATTGTAATCTGGGTAATATAACACATAGTGAATCATAAGAGACAGACTGAGTATAACTTCATTTCCAACAACCATGTCTGCATTGTGAGCCTATTGCACCATCTTCTGGACAAAGACTGTGGCTGATGGTTAGTGTAAAATCCTTGAATCACAACAGGGATATCCTCGCAACAGAAAATTAAAGTTGGATACAGGTTTATGTTTTTGAATGACAGGAAAATCTACAAATTAATGTAGCTACTTTTACTGAAAGGAATGGTACACAATGAGTTACTATTTTATATTGCCGTCCACTCCACATCCATGAGTTATTCAGCAAAGCAAATATATGAAATATGAGAAAATGGAAGTTTAATATAATTAGGCCATTTTTTCAAAGCCTTTGTTTATTTCAATAAACATAAATACAAAAATGTTGTTTGAGACTAAATTGGTTCTGTTTCCAAGACACAACTACATAATGCTTATCACAAAAAGAAATGCATGATGTTGTGTATTCACATGGAATACAAATGATTGTGCACTTTGCAGATACATATATATTAATAAACATATATATAATAATAATATAATAAAGGACTGGGGTGCTCCGAAGGGCCCTGTGTACTTATATTGTTGTATATGTTTCCATGAAAAAAGAACAAGGAAGAATTTAGCTTGAATCAGATTTATTTACAGATCTAAGTAGGGGACTATTTCCCTTGTGCAATAACTTTTTGGAATTCAACATCTTTTTCAAATGGAAACGCGGGGATTCTTGAATTGTGAATTGTTATAAAAACATTTACCATGGCAATATTTTGTATTTTTATAACATGTTAAATAATACAGTAATGCAAGTGAAAAATGTAATGAACCCATTACACTCCTATTGAGAATGAACAATGATGATTGATTTAAAGAAGAACTGTATGAACTTAGTTAAGTGGAAATAATCTATAGAAAATCACTTCAGTCATACTCTCTCACAGGGTAAAATAATATGTTCTTTGATATAATAAAAACAAAAACTGTACTTCGATAAAGCAAACATGCTGCAATTTTAGGCACAAAATCAGTCATCCCACACTATACTCTGCATGCTAACAGAGGAAGCACTACAACTACAAATCTGTGAGCTTGTTCAAAATAACATAAGAAAATACAAAATGAGGCAAATGAGCACTATGAATGAAATCACTGGTTCATTTCCCCAGAGGCAATGCTAAAGTGAATAACTTGAGCAAAGGACTGAAAAAATATGTCAACAACTTCAATCTCATGTCATCATCGACAATGGAACAAAGACAGCAAAGCAATGCATGCCAATGCACCCAATACGTAAGAGAATAACAATAATAATACTACAAAGCAAAACCATCATAGGGAATGACAAATGAAGTTACTTTAATTATGTTAATTTGGACAAGTGAGGCTGGGGGGGGGGTTGGGTGAGAGGGATAGCAGAAGATGGCAGTCCATCAGAGTAGTTGAGAGGAGGATGAGCTACTACTACGGGTGGTCTGCAGTACTCTCAGCCAGAGTGAAATGCAGGGGGGGTTGGGGGGCAAGAAAAGAAAAGGAGCTCCCAGGCAGAGGAAAGAGGTGTCACTTAAAGAGCTGGTTTGGCTTCAGAAGCCCGAAGGTGTTAAAACATTCATGTCCCGAGGTTTCAGTTTGTGAGGCCGTGTGGGAGCTCGGTTGGCATCGAGGCCTGAGATTTCAATCTTCGGGGGCATGAAGTTGGCAGGGTCGTCCACCTTGAAGTTGACCTGGGAGTTAGTGCTATCCATGGTGGAGGACTTCTGCATGCCGAAGTAGGACTGCAATGAGAAGCCTGAAGGAAAGACGAGGAAGAGAGGAAAGTCTTAACATAATAGGAGTACTAGTAATACAAGTGAGGATGCCATATTGTGTCGTTATTTTTGGTTGGTGGGACTACCTTACTTATACCTTCCTATACAGAACACTTTTGGGTGGCACATGTAAAACCTCTTGCTTTGAGATTCTATCCGATCAACTAGGCATAAATATCGTGATACAGTCGAGACCCAAAAGTAGGGATGGGTACCGAGCCCCGGTATTAAACAGGCCCCGGTGCTGAATTATTAAAGACCGTGGTAGCATTAAGCTCCAACGTTATCGGTATTTGTATCGGTACTGGAGACATCTAAAATATATGTATTATGTATTATGCTACACAAACATTATATTGCAATTTTAGAGTCGCCAACTCCGTTTCTAATATGCAAAAAGACTGCAAAATGCGTCTATGATTGTTTTTAGTATTTTCGATCTTTCCAATCCAGACGAAATATCTCTCTCTCCAGTCTGTGTGCGAGGGAGCGGGGCAGTTTACACACACGTGGCTGCTACATGCAGCAACACACACACAGGGCGGAGATGGCGGAGAGAATTCGAGATTTGTTAAAACATTGTTGTTTTCTTTTGACGTGAAATATTATTTATTTAATTTAAATAAAAAGCAATGTTAATTTTGTTCACAATTTGTTTACCTGTTACCGGATCGATAAGCGGTATCGATAAAAGTAGCAGTACAGTTAAAACCTTAACGATACCCATCCCTACCCAAAAGCAACATTGGGTATAATGGCGCATTTCCACTACAGCGTGGAGCGCGGTTTAAGCGTGCCGTGCCCGGCCCGTTTTTGGTTGCGTTTCCACTAGGCGTAGTCCGGCTAGCGGGTACTTTTTTTGTACACAGTTTTTCAGGCTCTCCGAAATCGAGGTTCTTTCCGGGCCAACAACCGAGCTGAGTATGCTAAACTAGTGAGAGAATCGCTGGCAACTACAACAAAATTATCATATTTTA